TTTTTTTTTTTTTTTTTTTTTTTTTTTTTTTTTTGTGGTGAGAGGGATCAAGACATCTTTGTGCCCAGAAATCACCAGAAGCAGCTCAGCTCAGTGACAGCCCATGTCTGGGCCAGGGAGGACCACTTGTCTGTGGGACTGGGGACTTTCTGATGGTGCAACCCTAACTCCACCCTCCCAGATTGGGCTATCAAGTGATGGAGCAAAGGACTTTTTTTTCTCAGTTGTCCGCACCTTATGCTCCCAAGTCACAGTGTTGGGTGAGCACCTGTGGGTCATGGAGCTGTGAGCTGACAGCAACCTGGCTGGCTGAGCTCATTTTAGTGTGGAAGGCGTTCTGACCACAGAGATGGGAATATAGATAAACACATGTGTTCCATTACTGGGAACAGCATCACCATGCATGGGAAAGCAGGTGCTTTTTTTCTCTTGGTGCTTAAATATATGACCATAGTTAATTGTGCAGCTGGCAAAGATGTTTTGGCTATGACATCCCGGCTTAAATATCACATATGTGGAGAAGCGCAGAAAGTGCTGGTACTCAAGCTGTAGGGTCCGTGGCACAGGGAGCGGAGCACCTCATCTCTGCTGCACACTGCTCCTCCTGCCCCCATCTCTATAGGGTGTTTTAATGGGGGAAAAATGACACTCCGATCCTCTGTGATGATACAAAAGTTCCCAGCATCAGTGGCTGCTGGGCTGGGCACGGAGGCCCAGGAGGGGCGTCGTGCTCCTGGGGTTCCTGTTGCAACCGGCGACCGGAAAATGTGTAATAAAACAATGAATTTGCCTGCAGATTACATCGACCCCCTCTACCTCCCAGGAGAAACAGGAAACTTTTAAATGCTCTTTTACTGTAAAGGAGGAAACTCCTTCGCAGTGAGCAGGACTTTTGCCCACATTGTGCTGCTGGTACTAGTCCTTCCATGGAAAAGCTTTTGGGTGGGGAGAGCCAGGGATGAATAGCAACTGCTTTGGCTGCAGGGAACAATTTGTGGTGGCTGGTGCCACGAGAGCCTCCTTGTAGGCAGCTGAGGGTGCCCTGACACAGGGCAGTTTGTTAGTGCCCTGGAAAGTACCTCTCCAGCAACCTAGGAGCAGCTCTCCTGCTTGGGGTGATTTCCTAGGGGATCCTGCCCCCAATGCTTGTAAAAAGATGAGTTTTTCTAAGCCAAAGTGCTCCCCGTGACTGGAAGGATGATCAGCAGTAATGGCTTTAAACCCCTCTCCTTGTGCTGCCCTCTGTGCCGAGCTAACCAGCCTGTACCCTCCCTCCCTCCATCCTTCCTTCCAAACCTCACGGAGCTGAGAGATTTGAGATGAGAGACTCTTCACCAAATTATTTTAATTGAGTTGCCTAAGAAGCAAAATCAACCTCACTTCCCGCAAGTGAAGCTCTCCAGATGGTTAATTTTAAAGCACAAGTTGTTCCCCCTCCTCCCCAAGATAACATTGAGTGGTATTTAAATAGGTTAGAAAATACCCTTACCTCAACACCCACAGCCTGCAATAATAAAAATTGGCTTTGCCAAGTGAAATCTAAAGCCTTCCCCTATCAGCTTATTGCAAGCACACGACAAGCTGGCACAGGGATATGTTTTTTGGCTGCCAAGTGTCCACTCACCTGAGTCTGCACCCTATTGCTTTACAGCCATGTAAAGCTGGGCATGAAAGAGTGCCCTTTTCCAGGCCCGACCGATGTGACGGGTGTGTAACAGGGGCTGCGTGCCTGCACGTGCTCCCACAGGCAGCTTTCTAACACCGACCTGCAATAGCTGGCAGCTCAATATCTGTAAACCCAAACCTCACCCTGCCTTGCTGGGTCTTCCAGCAAAAGGCAGTTCATGCTGGCTTTTTTCTTCTGGCTGCAACAACAAAAAAAATTCACCTTGAAATACAGCCAAAAGAGTTAAAGATGCCAATGAAAATGCCTTGTTCTTCTCTGATCAAAATCAATGAAATATAGTGCTGGGCAGAGCAGACTTTTTAATTTTTCCTTTTAGGCTGTTTTTTAAAAAACTGATTTCCTGAAAAACGAAATGCACTTTTGAAATGAAATAGGTCAAACATTCTGATTTGAAAATGTCTGAAAAATATACTTTAGAATGGTACTCAGGTATTACACCACAGTGCAAAGGGGGTTTCCAGCCCATGCTGGGCTCCATGGCATGGCTGGGAAAGCTTGCACCAGGGATGCTGGTCTGGAGGAACTGCATATAGATGTACCCAGCTGGAACATATATACGGTCAGTAATGAGACTTCATCAAATTAGTCCTGTTTCCATACCTCCATGCTGATGTATACACTCCTCGCGATGAGGAACATATAATTTCCTTCAGTTAACGGTCCCCATGGCTGATTATCTCATTATTACCAATTTACATCTGGTTTCTAATCTGATTAGAAGCAAAGACATGCTGAGGGCTTTGTAGGGCTAAACCTGCCCCAGGGAGGATCCTCACTGCTGGGTTGGACCCAGGGGACTGCCAGGGCTGAAGGCCTGCACTTGAGATCTGGGGGTTGCCTCTCCATTACACAGTGCAACCACTTTGTCAGCATCCACGAGCTGCCTTCTCAGCTAAAAATAGGCTAATCCCTGCAGTAAGAACTGAATTAACATAAAAATGATACTGCCAAAATTCTTAGCCTTTCGAGATTTAGTATAAAACCCGAACATCTTCACTTTGCAGCCATTATATACACCCTCCTCTGGTTTTATTTATGCAGAAGCCAAAAAACCTTTGCATGCCAAAATCTCCACTGAAATATTCTGCAGTTGTGAATGAGGAGCAGGAAATCAGAGTCAAATGCCTGACCCCTCTTGTCCAACTTCAGTTTTAGCATTATGAAATTAGTGGTTGCATCAGTTCATTAAATAAGAGCAATCTCCTAAGAGGACTGCTCAGCAGAAGAGCCAACATCATCGTCAAGGGTGGCGGTTGCCTCTGAGCATGTGGCCCCCTGAGGGCCTGGTGCACCCTGATCCAGTAACTGAATCCTGGGAGATGGCAGCGATTGCCAGCAAGGCTTGCAAGCCACAGTTGTCTAACTTTTGTCCATGCACCTTTCTGATCAGAAGGAAAAATACTTTTTAAATGCCCTACTGTTTAAGGGATTTCAATGAAATTTCAATTAGAAAAATGTCAATTGATTTCACAATTTCAGTTAAAAAAAATCACAGAGTGAGGTAATATTATTAACACTGGAGCATAATTGTCAAGCACATCTTTAAAATGTGTTAAATCATATTATAGGGTGATTGGGTTTTGCTGCTTCCAGTTTTGTGTGGGAGCAGCTATCACACTGCCTATCCCACCCTTCCCCTGGGCAGACGTGTGTCTTCTTCAGTTACTACTTTCAAAAAGAGTTGGCAGAAAATGAGTTGAAACCAATGAAATTCAAATATAGGTTCTGGGCTTCTGACTGTGTAATGGTACAGAGTAACACGAGGCTCCTCCTGAAAATCTGTGGCTCTTACAGAGAAGATATGAGATGCTTTGCAGCCGTGTTGTCAGAACCAGCAGCCCAAGGCAAAGACCAGCATCAAAATATCCCTGTGTGGTAAGGGATTTAATGGGAACAGGTGAATAAAATCATCTTGCAACGTCATAGCTGCTGTCTGTGTTTGAATTTTTCTGCAGACGCTTTCCTCTAACAAAATGAAAACAATGAAAAAAATTAAGAATTTGCACAAGGCTCTGCCCTGAAGGCTGTTACCGCTGTCTTTCTCACACTTAAAAAACGTTCGCTGAAAAATCCAGCCCAGCTCCATTGCCAGAGGACAGGATGTTACACAATGTGTTATGGATATTTTGCTCTCCTGCGGCACATGGCCATTCCTACAAATTGTCTTTGTTTTTTTTTTAAAAAAAAAGTGCCTTTCACACAAATGACAACAGAGTTCGTGGAGATGCGGCCAGTTTCTGCAGGGCTCGGGATTTCCTGGCAGAGCACACATACCCTTTGTTCTGGAAAGCAGGCATCAGTGGGGACACCACACCTTTGCGGGGGTTGAGCAAGCTGTGCCAACACTGGGAACAGCCCTTGGGGAGCCCCATCCTCGCTGGGTTATTTGCTGAACATATTCTGCTAGTTTTCTTTCTGACCTTGGGGCCCCCAGGCGGGAGCCGCTTCAGTTGGAAAGCCAGATCCAAGATCCCCAAAAGATGCTGTGTGGAGCAACATGTCTTATGCAAAACCAGGAAAGGAAGCATTATTAGGGTCCCCCCAAACCTGCTTATGTTCCCAGGCACAGCAAATAAAACTGATTCTTGACACCGCATTTTGGTACCCCCAGGGATGGGATGATTTCCCTGCCACACCATGTCCTGAGATGCCTGCAGCACTTGGGTCTGTGGAGCAGGGAAAGGTCAGACCCCAGGAGGGTGTTGCAATAACTTTTTTTGAACATGTTTGTTCACAGAAGCCCAATAAATCTACAGCAGGTGAGTTACAGATGTCCCCCTCCTGGGAGGATGTCCCCCCGACACCCCTGGGTGCTGGGCTGAGCTGCCAGATGGGATGCTCCTCCTGCCAGCACCTGGACATGTGAACCTCCGACCTGCCGCAGCATCCCACGGGAAAAACTTAGGATCTTAAGTAAGGCTTTGGCTTTTATGGATGGAGCTGGGTCTTAGCCCAGGGGTCTGCAGCCTTCCCAGAAAGCAGGCTGGCTCCAAGCCATCTGCCAGAATAACTGAGAGGGGAAAGATAGGAGAAGGAGACACAGGAGCGATGCTGAGCTCCGGGGTGTCTCTTCGAGTCCCACCACCATCAGGAAGTGGGGACGCATTTTTAGGGGGGCTGGGAAAGCCAGCCTAGGCCCTGTCTAATAGTTTGGGCAGCATCAAGGGCAGCCTTCATGGCTGCAGCCTTTTCCCTCCCTTGCAGCAGGCAGATACCTGAGCGGGTGATGGTCTGGGAGCATCCCTGGGAGAGCCGGC